ACTTGTTATTTTATTTATTAATCATTATATATAATATTTTGTTGGAAAAATTCACATGAATAATCTGAACTATTGATGGTCTTCTCATATTAATCTCAAATATAAATAATATCAATATAATCTAAACTATATAGAGTATCTGCCAAAAACAATCCCATAACCTGAATAAACCAGTTCAACCGGTCATCTGCGGGGTGTCTTGTTTTCATTGGACTTCCAAGTCATTTTATTTTACTTTTATTCATGTTTTCTCTTTTATTTTCTTTTTTCCCCATTTATTTTATCTTCTTCTTTCCTCTGTACTTTTCTGAGTTTCTCCGCTCGTCTTCTTCTTTCTCCGCCCTGAACTGTCCCTTCGATTTGCTGTTTTGTTTATTGTTTTTCTTTTCTCCTCTCAAGCTCCCACTTTCCCCTTCTTCTTTCTCCAGTTCTCTTATCGTGCTTTTTCTTTTACTTTTTCCAAGGCCGCTCACCAATTCATGGATTCATGTCCAAATACAAACCTGGCACATCCCATTCAATTTCGGCAAAAACTTGGAGGTATGGGACACGAAATAGAATAAACCGGATCTGCAATTAAATCCTTATTAGTGGCCTAGTGAGTAATTTGAGTTACTGCGTTGGACCCAAGGAGAGCAGAGAACGAACTTGACTTCCTAACACATCGGCACCAACACTCCTTCACCATCCTTTTTGCCGGCTTCTTATTCTTTCAAATTAAGAGAGCTAAAAAATTCTATTCAAACATATGGTTGAGCAAAAGACTCTAGAGGGGAACAACCGAAGGTGGAGACTCGGGAAAAGATAAGAGGAGGGGAGATAGCCGAAGCCCATAGCAGGGGAGTAGCCGGAATTCTGGCTCTCATAGCCTAGAAGAGAAAAGTCCGCAGACTCGTCGGGTAGAAGCGAGATGTGCAAAAGGTTTTACCTGTCAAACAAGTTCCAGGTCACCTTGGAGCATTTTGAGAAGAATACTCGCTAAGTTGAGATTATTATGGAATAATACATATATGGGATTATTATCAGAAGAATGTCAATAGGTGGGAATGTGGGATTATTAATGTGAATTTTTTCTATTTTGTTTAGTTATTAATTCTTAATTCTAGAAAATTAATGTTTGATACTAGATTTATTAAGATCTGCAAGATATTGAAATTTAATATTTATGGTTTAATTAAGTGAAACACTTGTACATGTAAATATACTCAAGTCTATTGCTATAATACTAATATGTTGATATTTTAAATCGTAATTAACATTTTATTTGTTGTTGCATGACACTGATATTTTTCTTGATATATTAAATGTTATGTATGTTTGTTATCACATATTTTGTTATATTGAACAAGTATGTATTAGTATAAACTATACTTTAAACAACATAGCGGAAAACGTGAAACTTTAGAGCATAAATATCTTTATATAAAAAAAAAAGTAGAATAAGTTACATTTTTTAAATTTTTATTATTAATAAATATTTAACTTGCGAATACACAGTATATAATTCACAAATTAACTCATGCATTTGATTAATTTAGAAAATGTTAAAACTGATATACAGGTACCCTCTAACTCATTGTTTGGAAGTCCATTTGTTTCTTCTCTCTTTTTAAGTATATATGTCTTTGTATTGTCTTACTATTAATAATAGTTTGATGTAGTTTTATATTTTTTGTTTTTGTTTTTTTATTAGTATTTTTCTAATCAACAAAATATTTTGGTAAAAATCGAAAAAACCAAAATCGCACCAAAATATACCGAATTTAACAAACCGTGGTTCTATTTTTGGAACATAAAACCAAACCGAACTTTTTACTTTGATCGGCATTTGGTTTTAATTGAAAATCGAACCGTTTGAACCAAAATAAAATCTTATGTTTATTTTAAAGTATTATAACTTTTAAATTTGTATTCTAATTGTTACAAAAAAATATATCAAAATTGGGGAAAATAATTAAAATATCACAAACTTTGAAAGGGTGTGAGGGAAGCACCACAAACTTGCATATGTAATTTAAATACTTCGATCTTTATATAAAAAGTTATTTTAGCACCATTGTGATGTATTATTTCTTTCAAAAATGTTAATTTTTTGTGTTAATTTCATAATTTAAAACATTTTAGCATTCATGAAGATACAATTAACATTTTAAACTTCATTGTAAAATAAATAATACTACACCCGCTCTATATAATTGCAACATTTTCAATTTGCTATTTTAAATTATGCAATAATGAACACCATAAATTTACATTTTTGAAAGAAATAATATATGACCATGGTGCTAAAATAACTTTTATATAAAGTTTAGGGTATTTAAATCACATATGAAAGTTTGGGGTGTTTATCTCACACACCTTCAAAGTTTGGGGTATTTGAATTATTTCCCCCCATTTTTAAATTGTTGTATCTTTTTATTTTAATCTGACTGTTACAAAAAATATATTAAAATTCATAACAATTTCTTATCTCTCATATTACACATATGTTGTGTGTGTGTGTAAATTCTATTCTATTTATTTTTACAATTTGGGATCGTTTTTTACAGTGCACTCTATTTATTGTTTTATTCTTTGCGCTATAATTTGTGCAGTTTTATTCTAAGTCATCACTCCGATATGTGTTGGCCGAGAGTTTCAGCTCTCAGAAAGTTTTATTAATATATTTATAAATGATACATTTCACGGTTACATTTTGGGAAAGTATTGTCACGTGTCAACACAATAATAACCGTCCTTGAATAATTCTTATGCTAATTTCCTAATTCGTATAAACAATTACGACTGTAAACATATAGAATCCATATATGATGCTACATATGTAAACGTCATGAGTATTTGTATTTAGGATGTTTTCTTTTGGACTAAAGTTTGCTGGTCCGGTCTGATATGGTACTCTGGTCTGGTCTGATCTGGTCTGGTTCGATCTGGTAAACGTAGGGTCACTGTGTATTTTATAACTACAGGAGTCTGGTCTGGTCTGGTTCGGGACTGAAAATGGTCCATAAGAAAACATCCTTATTTGTGATTGAATTATGTTCAAACGCAAATTCTTACAACTATTAACTCATGAGCTAATAACCCACGGCATGTCTTGAAAATTCTCTTTATGATACTGAACAACTCTGTCGATTATCAAATCTTTGGGCTTTGTCATGCTAAACTATATATAATTATATATCATTATGAATTTCTCTTTAGCTTTCACTCCCCCCACAATATCCATGTTAGAATTAACAACTTTAGTTGTTTTTCTAAATTTCCTCTATACTTCAATAATGTTTTCTCTTTTCAGATTACATTTGCTTTATAAACTATTGATACGAAAAAATGATAATAATAATAATAATAATAATCAAATTGTTCTCCGTCCACTCTTAATAATTCCAAGAGGCAACGATCGATTACGTCAAAATAATTCCAACTTTATGGACCTTTCGTTAAAAATGGTGAGGCTACCTACTATGTCAATGATAGAACGTATAAACACACTTTTTCCATAATTCTTATCTAACTGTTACAACGATTAATCATAAAAAAGAGATTAAACATGGCCTGACAGGTTTTGGATTATCTAATGGCTACAACTAATTCTTGATATGAAGAGTGTAACAAATGAATCATTTCATTTTTTTTGGCCAAAAATAAGTTACTCTGACTGAAAGCTGAAAGAAGTTAATAGAAGTTACTGGATAATTTTTGGCAAATAGAAGTTAGGACTGAATCGTTTCATTTAATTTTAGAAACATTATGAAATTTTTTGGCAGATGGAAGTTAATAACGTTCGTTACCTATTCTATAATATCCTGAAAGCTGAAATGGACCTTTCTACTGGATAATGTTGTGCATACTAATTCAGTCCTATGTATAAAGCATGTTTCAAGCCTCTAAGATGTTTGGAAAAATTAGAGTATTTTAAATGAATAATAATTTTTTTTGGGAAAACTATCAAATAAGCCCCCGTACTATGCCGAAAAAGTCGATCAGGCCCTCGTACTTTAGAAACACTCAATTAAGTCCTCAAACTATTAAAAAACGTTCAATTAAGCCCTTTTGGTCGGTAAGTAACCGGTTTCCCGGTTAAACGGCGACGGCGACAACGATGTGCTCGAACCCCAGCAACGGCGGCTGCCGGGCAACGGGTTACATTTAATCGGGAAACCGGTTACTTACCGACCGAAAGGGCTTAATTGAACGTTTTTTAATAGTTTGAGGACTTAATTGAGTGTTTGTAAAGTACGAGGGCCTAATCGACTTTTTCGGTGTAATACAGGGGCTTATTTAATAGTTTTCCCTTTTTTTTTTTGTATTTTACCTGTCCCGCACTCCCACATTTGTTTGGAAAGGTAACCTAGACATTTAAAATATCAATTAATTTGTAAGATGTAGGTAAAAGAATATTCGGACGAGTCTACTCACCCACATTTGTATATATAATTAAATACCTCAATCGTTAGCCAGCCATTAAGCACCTATAGGCTATAGCCTATAGTTTGTGATCAGATTATTATTTGTGTATGAGATGCAATTAGATTGTAACCACAATGCGTGATGTTTGGATTACTTCTGATTGAGATCGACTCATATTTTTAGATAAGCATCAGATTCCTTTTTTTTTACATAGAGATGAATGATTGTCTGCTATGAGTTTGAAACTTTGAACAAAAATTTAGTCATTTCCTCGTTGGGGTGCAGACTGCAGACTGCCATTTCAGCAGAAGAACCAAAGTCACCCTCAAGCTCCAGAAAAAGAAACTGAAAAAGGAGTTCAGGCCTAGGCCCAGGATGAGGTTTAAAAGATCACTTTTAGTCTTATAAATATTATGTCAATTCCACATTTGATCTCTTTTGTGCATGATGATTATTGTTCCCTTGCCATTCACTGTCCTTCAGGCCAAATTTCTAGCACCTCTCAGGCGGCTTTTAAGCACCTAAAATGTAGATATCACTAAATCTACGCAAAAAACATGGCAAAATCACAAAACAGGATTTGTATAATACTTGTGACACCAAAAATGAAATTTATTCTTTTCTCAACAAACAATGTGGAGAAAAAATTATTGTTCTAATTTGATCTTGGGATCGGCCAACCAATATGTGTAACGCTCTGGAAATGTAGCGAATATGCAAGAAGAGGGGTCAAATCTTGCACATACAGAATACAAGTCATATAAAAGGACAAACAGTGAAACAGCAATGTAAGATGGATAAAAGCCGTATCGTTCACTTTCACGCAACACTACAAAATTAATTATGTGGATTATAAGTTGCAACTCGGTGAAAATCAGATGCCTTTCTTGTATATTCTCATCCGTTCTGTGTTTGAGGAATACCTGCTTCCAGGTAAACTATGATAAGGTGCCTCAATTGATCAATGTTCAACTATTCTTAGTTCGTCCATCCATCAAGAAGCTCTCTTAGGAAGAGCCATATTACCAATTAGACGCACGGTTGTAGCAACTGAGAATATCTGTACCAAAAATCCTGCACACACACAAAAGGTGTGTTCAGATTACAATGGGCACTGAGCATTTCAGGCAACAAGATTCAGGAATTATATGTTCAGATTGAAGAGCTCACCAAGTATAATAGCACCAATCTTCAGGACTTCAATATTTGGTGGCAGCAAGCTATTGAAGTTTTGAAGAACCTAAAAGAGAGACATAATAGAAAAGAGAATTCTAATATCCCCATTCAATAGTAGTAGGTAAACTTTTATGACAACTCCTGTGCATAACTTTGTATCCGTGTAGCACAGATATGCAGACATGTAGACACAAATATGATGGCATGACAATCTAAGAAAATATAGAACACAGGTATCGGTGTATTTGTGAATCTTAAAAATTGAAGGGACTGACTTGCAGGTGTATGTTTTTCAGAAAGAAAAAAAACTATGAAAACTATTCTCTAAATGGTGTAATCGTTCTAATTTTTACAAAATTAATAATGGAGTCTCAATAAATAATCATTACTTAAATTATGAATTACTGTTTGGTTTGTTCTTGAAGGTTTTATCTAACATGTAATTTCAAAATATACAAACATCTATCAATAAAGAGTTCTATTTAGGGAACGTTTTCTCTTTCTTTTGTTAAGTCCAAGATTATCAAGATTTTTGTCTGGATGAAGCGATCTTTATATATGAGAATGTTTAGTTTGCGTGCTGAATAAACAGTGTAAATTGATTCAAACCACTTATATCACTAATAAGCACAAATAGCACAACGATGACTAGTCAGCAAGTTATTTTCCACTTTTCAAACTAGGTTTGCTCGACTCTTTTTAGCGTAGCCCCAAGCATTGGATGATTCAAACTACTTCTATCACTAATGATCTTTATTGATAATTTCTTTGGCTCAGTTCCATGTAAAATAAACCCTATGCTTCATCTTCATCCATGGTTTACTGCTTTGATTGGACTATCTTGTAGTTTTATACGGAGTATATTTTTATATGTTTATTTTTTTAGTTCTGTTGCACATGTACAACAGTACAAGAATATCTTCTTCTCTTCCATTTTGTATTCTGTTTTACAAATATAAGTTGGTATAATACTCCAAATCAAAATGAAAAAATTAAACTTGTAAGTTTAAGGTTTGAATTTTAATTTATTTTGTTCTTTCTAAGCTATAAGCTGGTATGTCTTCCTTTTTTTTTATCTTTTTTATAATACCTTATCTTTTTTGTCTTTCTTTTCGTTTTGGTTTTGATATATCATGCATCGGTCCATGTTAGCCGACCCCAAAATCTTTTGGGACTAAGGCTTGGTTGTTGTTGTTGTTGTTCTTCTTCTTAGGCATGTATCGTGTGTGTGTCAATATGTTTGTGTGAGGTGGTGACTTTCCACTTTTTTACCAGTTTGGGAATCTCAAGGTTGGGTCCTACTATAACTTATGTTCCACTTTTTTTTTACCTCACAAGTTTAGGTAATATGATTTTTTATTGTCTCTTATAAAGAATGTTTTTATTTGCCACCGCTACTTCACTTCTTCCATTATGATCAGACGCTGGTGTCTTTTTTCTATCGTTGGACTGATCATTATGATTTAAAATTTATTAACGTTTTTTCTTCTCAAAAGAAGAGTTTGTTAGTTTGCCAATAGTATTTCCGGTTGGCGGTTTATTATGTAGAATGATCCTTATGGAATGAATTTATTGTGTGGCTAGATGAATGTCTCAATCACAAATCTAAGATTCAATTCAAAATCAATGATAAAAGAAAAAGTTTTCATTCAGAATTTGTCAATGAGGGCGATGCAGAAGATTATGGACTCTATGATGATGGTACTGACGACTAATGTTTTAAATTTTGATTAAAAAAGAAGTGCATTTTGACATGGAGGATGATGAGTAGTGACATTTTGACACGGAGCTATAAACAATCACATATATTTACCTCTAAAGGATTCTGGCTCATGGCAAAACATGTAGCAGGAATTAGCACAGCTATGGATGATCCGAACACATACAACTTTAAAAAGTTTGATCTGCTACGCTTTCGACCTTCAGCACACACACACACAAAAAAAAAACTTATGGAAATGAAAATTGTACAAGCATTAAGTCAATACCTATGAAGGGAAAGCATAGGAGAATAATAAATTATATAAACCTAATTCTCCAAAAATAAGAGAGACGAAGCCTATTGCAGCAGAGCAGAAAGCACATCTTTCAAATGTCTGAGTCTTCACTGCTACAAAAAATGAGAGTGCTGATATTATCAAATGAACAACTGCCTGCAACAAGGAGTGCGGTTTAAATACATGATAATAATCCTGAAGACACTAAAGAATGTACCAACTTGGCTAATAATTGCCAATAAGAGAAAGCAAACAAAACCTAAGCCGTTATAACTGCATATACCTGAATGAGTATTATCTTCGAAAGTTGAGATTTTCCTTTAGCTACTTTTTGGTACCCTAATTAAAAAATGAAATAACTCATTACGGAATAAAAAATAAAGAAACGGAAGGGAAAGATAGTGGTCAGTTCACGAAACCCTATCAGAAGCAAAATTAAACCTACTTGAGTCTACCACCATTCGGAATGAGTAGTCGGAGCCATCGGTTCCGGACGGACGCCGACTAGCCGTCGATGTCCTCTGGTGCATGCCTTTATTTCGCGCCCAACTGCTACGAGTATCGAAAACTACAGATATTATCACAGGTGAATAATTGCTGAATCTGAGCTCACCAGAAGAGAAACTACATATATTATTATTACTCTTTTCGTCTCATATTCAAAGGTTCTCTTTTTACTTGTGCGTCTTAACTAAAAATTCTCATTTTCTATTTTAGAAAGTAATTAATACTCTCAAACAACAATTTAATTATCAAATATTAAAAAATAATGCATCTATAATCTCACAATTATCATCATATTACACCCTCCATCCCGTAAATAACTTCCCTCTTCATTTTCACACATATTTACTGTTTAGACACTGTTTGGCACTGTTTTGATGTAGAGAATTTGCCAAATAAGGAAGTGGGAAGAAGTGGGAAGTTAATTTCGGAACTGCCCAAAAAGGAAAGTGGGAAGTTGTTTACGGGACGGAGGGAGTACTATATTATATACACATTAATTTTTTTTTTCAAAATACACTCAAATTAGCATATTAAATAACTGGCTAAATAATCATGATATTTTGCAATGAAAACCTTTGAATGGACGGATACATTATTATTATTATAGTACTAGTAGTAGTAGATCATGTCGTACTAGTAACAAAATAGCAATTATAATAATTATTGGTTACTAGTCATAATTAAGTTATTACCAGTTACAATGCTTTTTATTACAATTATTAGTAAGAGTATACACAATTTAATAATAATAATAATCATATTTTAGCTATTAATTTATAGATTCATACAATCTAATTTATAATTACTTGACTATTTACTATCTTTTGGCTGATAGTTAATAGTCACGATGTTATAAATTACAGAGTAGATTGTGGTGGTTGTTTTTTTATTTATTTTTTAAATATACAGATTTTGTGGTGACAGACATAAGTTTAATTCTAGAGGTATAAAAACAAAGAATAAATTAAGAAATTTGGTATTAAAAGTAATAATGTTACTATTTTTACACTTAAAAAATAGTAACTGTAGTTATACATGATGCTTTAAAGAGTTTAAATAAAATATGGATTGAGAACTTTGGTACATGACAAAGTAAATCACTAAACTTGGTACAAATTATTAATTTATGTGATAAATTTCGGTTGCATTTGATTTTCAACGGTTGGTTGAAAACGTTATACCACTAAACTGTAACTTGCAGTGTTTTATGTTTATAATAACTTTATATGGAATTGGCATTTTGAATGAAAACGCCATTTTCAAAACGCTAACTCAAAACTCTCCTATTTGCAGCGTTTCCATTTCAGCGGTTCCGTCCAAAAACGCTAGGACCGAACAACTATTTACCAAACGGCATTTTCATTTACTGAAAACACTATAAGGGGTCAAAGCGCTATTTTTTTGGCTGAAACGCCATATTCCAAACACCCCTCGACCCTCGTATAGTAAACGTATGACTTTTTAATAGGAACCGAATCAGTTTTAAATGTGGTTATACACTACTTGGATTTTGGATTCATTTTTTTGGGGGAGGAGATTTTGGATTCATAAAAAATGTAGTTGGTATTAGATGGTTTCACATGTTCACGATGGGGATAAGGCCAACCGGTGCAATATTTTTTAGTTGTAGTTAGATAGATAGTTCTCAACTTGCTAATCTACTTTAGAATTCCCAATCAATTGAATTGAAACTCACTTTCAGAAGAAAACTATGCAGCCAATGATTGTGCCCTACGCGACTTCAAAGTATAAAATTCATCAACAATATAGAATCTACATCTATTAATGCAAAAAGATGGAGGCAGCTCCAAATTTGAGATAGTTTGGATTTCAGGGATTTGGTCTGTGGAGGAACCTCATTTCGTAGATCTTGCATTATAGTAGGTATATGTTCATTAATCATTATTCATTTTAAAAAAACATTTTGAATATTGGTATGAATTAAAATACTTTTATAAAATTATAAAACTAAAAAGAAAAAACAATAGTTGTGTATAAAACTAATAAGTATTCCCAATTTCAAAATTCTATTGAAATTTTTAATTCTTTCTTACATGTCCACACAATAAATAAATAAATCTATGTTCTTCAATTGTATAATAAATAAATCATTCTCTAATCTTTAATCACTATAAATTTATAATGAATAAACAATATTTTGTTATGAACTGAAAAATTGAATTAATAATCAAATCGATTCTCTAGCCCTAAAAATAACAATACACAATAACCCTGAAAAATTCAATTAATAAAATTTTAAAAGAGTATTAGAAATTCAGAGCTAGAGTATACCTGGTCACCTAGAGGCCGGAGCTCAGGAGCTACAGGCAGAGCGGATAGCCGGAGAGAAAGGACGGCCGAGTGAGCGACGGCGTCCGGCGTCGCGGCTGGTGGATGCAGGTCGGCTGGTGTTCGCAGTTCACAGCGTCTTCAGTCTTCGTCGTTTCGACAGGCTGCCAGGCTCTTCTTCGACCTCCGTTCTTCAATCTTCTCATAAGAACTTCAGGAGACCGCAGTGGATTAGTGGAATAGCTGGACACTTGGATTAGGCTTTGGCTGGACTGGGAATTAATTTTGGCCCGATAAAATTTTGTTATCTCAAATATAAAATTTTGGCCCCAACAATAATCTCAATTATTTATTATTTTTGTATAATCCCAACTATATGGATCGTTCGCCAATAATGGTCTATGATCGAATAATATCTGCTATAATGGGTGAATTTTAAACAGAAATTAAGCGTAAAAATTAAAAATTGGAATTATTTATAGGATTACCTGCTATATTTTTCTATCATGAATTATTACTATCAAAATTTTCACGTTTTTCTAACATCTTCAAAATTTTCTGATCTCTCATCATCAAGATATATGTTTCCTCTATTATAATTTCATATTATCTGATTTTACTTACCAATACCATTATATATTTATATCTACCCACATTCCAATTCCCTGTTTAATATCCTTCATTATTTGTAGATTTATCTTTCACTATCTATGCTTTCCCTAAGAATACTTTATATAACATCTTTTATACACAATGTCTTCAGTACAATGTCTTCATTACTGAAAGATATTTTATGATGTGCTACGCAGACATTTTCTTACCGAGCAGTCAACACTCATGCACACTATTTATGCAAATACTGAATACGGGTTGTGTTCGTTTTCTTTTCAAATGTTATGTGTGAGCGGCACCAAATCTTTCGCCGTCAAAGTGCCTATGATACCAGTTCATATTTGGTTACCCGAAGCTCATGTAGAGACACCTCCATTTTCAAATTCAATAAGACTTGCGCTTACAATTGTAGTAGGAAAAATTCACACCTTTAATCCTACCTATTAAAGTTCTTCCAATATTAATCCCAAATACAAATTAATCTCATCTTACACATTTTTAATCTTTTTGTTTTGTTCTTTTTCCTTTTCCCTATTTATATTTTACTTTTCAGGCAGCTCTCTCCTCAGTTCGTCCCTTCTCGCCCACATCCCCTTCTTTCTTCTTCGGTCTGCTCGACTCCTCCTCTCCACCTTCTTAGATGTTCATGAATTTTCAGCCTAAAGTAGAGCTTTGCACTCTTCTCTCCCCATAGTTGTTAACCCTCCACCCTTCCCAGTGTCGCAGTCAGTCCGTTCATTTCATCCCAGATGCCCCGATCTTTGTCATGAACATCAAAATCAAATTTGTGTTTGGATTGACCAAATTAATTTTTCCCCATCTAAAATTAAAAGAAAGAAGATCAAATTGAGCATGGCGTAAAACCTAAATCAAACAAAAATGGAATTGAAGGTGGGTAGGAGATAATCATCTACAAATAACATAAACAAGAAAAATAACCGGGGAGAATAATCTATGGCTAGCGCAAACTTGGATCCGAAAACCACAACTACAACTCAAACCTTTCAAACAGCTCTTCTTGAGTGTGTTGCCCGTCAATTGCATCAGAATAGAATAAAGAAGTACAAGAAATGGGGAAAGTAGAAGAAGATGGAACTAAAAGTAAAATATAAAGAAAGGTAAATGGGGAAGATGACAGCAAATGGGGAAGATGAGGGAAAAGAAAAAATCCTCCTGCATTCAACTTCTTCCTTTTCTTCTTTTTCTCCTTTTTTAATTTGTTTACCTGATTAGTAAGTAGCAGATCATGTCGGATCAATATGAGAAGACTAGTCATGAATTTCGGGTTATTTTAGAATTACCGGTATTTAGGATTAATATGAGAAGGCTAATGTCTAATGATAATTGAGATTATTTATGTGAATTTTTCCATTATAGTATTGTTCTAGTTAATTATTTTCAAAAGCCCGGAAAGAAGGAAAATGAATGTAGAGCAATACAACAGCAGTCATGCACTCCAATGCGAAAGTGACTCATACGGAGTAATAAATAAATAATGCATTTATTGTCGATCTTTTACTTATTCTGGATTTCTGGGTCCTATTAAATGGGAGTAAAAAGTTTTACTCAATGAACTTATGAACCCGATTAGCTAAAATGAAAGAATGACTCCAGAATTGTTTAAAACAATTGAAGATAAAATTTTGAAAGAACCAAGGAGAAGAATAGCTCAAATGATCATAAAGTGTGATTTCCTTCTACGTAGGTCATTCTCACTAAAAAGAATGTATTACTAATTACTGCACTGGTACAATTATTATGTGCTAATTTCAACCACCCCAATCAAATAGTAGTTTAGATTTTGAAAATGGAAAGCAAAGTCAAATATCACTTATAAGATAGACTGCAAAGTCAAATTCTCCCATTAGATTTAAATAAAACACCTAAGGTAGTGACGAAGTGTATGGTAAAACATACCGAAGTCCCAACCAATTAATTCTTGTTGAGTAATATTAGATGCATAAAAAGTTCTAAACATACAAAACTTATCAATGATAAGTTATTAAGGTGTTTGGGCGTGCAATTTGAACACTTATTTTAATGTTCAAAGCACTCGTTTAAGACTTGAGAGGTTATACAACTATTATTACATTTTTACGACTTGCACAAATTTTTTCGAAACGATAAGATAGGCAACTCCACTGGTACACAGAATGTAGAGTTGTAGACATAAAATTGTCAACTTAAACATTCTTTCTTTAAAAGTACAAACATATAAAACATACGGAGTACTATCTTGTGTTTCCATATTGCAGCTTGACTTTTCATGTCAAAATTCATTAACCTTCCAATAATACCATCAACTGACCATAAGTATTTACAGGGCAGGGACTTCTGTGTGAGGCTTGCAAAGCCAAACTCTGCCTTGATATGTGTCTGGACAATATAACGTGGTTATACACTTGTGCTCTTATGGTAAGAAAACCTATATTTCAGTGCGATTAGGGGTGCTATCCAAAGCAGGCTGCACGTTTTTTCCATCTGAAACAGGTGATATACCTTGTTCTATGCGCTGGAAAACAGAAATAAGGTTAGGAAAACACACTTTGTCATGTCAATCAAACAGACAAACATCACCAATCAAAACATAGATAGGCCTGTATATTAGCAATCTTGAATAAATATAGATGAATTGCGGCATAACTGCTATGCTAGTGACTATTCAGATTTTGGATTCCATCCTATAACATCAACATATAGTCGGTGCTAAATGGGTTAACGTGTTCATGGTGGGAATCAAAACAATCCGGTACAATCTTTTTAATTTTAGTCGTAGAGATAGCTCATGGAGCTTAATTCATCTGATAAATTTTAGAAATATGAATAGCCTCAAAGTTAAATAACCTAGGGAAGACGTCAAAAGGATGCACACACAGTGTAGTGACTAAAGAGGAGGGCGTCTTACACCCTATACCAGGTGTGTGTGTTTGAATGTGTGTGACTAAACAAATTCTTTCATATGCACCTTGTGTAGGGTAGAAAAATCAATAAAAAGGAACTTGAATCATTTTCAACTTCCTTCTCTCTTAGCTCGTCCAAATAAAAATAAATACTAAAAAACTAATTATCCTACTTAAAAAGGCCATGACAGAGTTATGCCTATCTATTTTGGAATTTCCAATCAACTGATTCTAAAATCACCTGCAGAAGAAAATTGTGTAGCCAATCTAGGGCTTGAGGAAACGCAGCAGCTGATATGTTCACGACCGTTAGACCCTGTAATTAGAAAATGGAGAGTTAAGATTTAAGAAGTCAGTGGTCATGGTTATCGATCTAAACAAACCAAATGAAAAGGATTAAGGGGTCGAGTGGTATACTCTGTATAATAAAAAACACAACAGATGAGAGGTTTTTATTAGCAACCCAACATGTGCTTAAGTAATTGATAACACTCAAAATGAGAGGAAACTCATGGAAATCTATGTATTAATGATGCCTATTTTATATTCTTTTATAATTATTTGAAGTAATGTTTTAAGCTACAAGTAATAGCCCTGATTTTATAAAAAGGTGGACATAATCAGCTTTCCTGAGTAAGGCTAGGGGCAAGAACTCTTTCCCGGGGAGTTCCTGCGGGCTCTTGGAGAGTGTTTCTTCAGAATCCTGATCTATCTTTTCCTGTGTTTATTAATTTATAATATTTTATTTAACTTTGCTTCTTTACTTCCTATGAGAAATAAACATATTGACATAGCTATTTACCAGTGAGAAAAAACAATGAAAATGAAAACTAGAAGAAAACAGCGATCCGAAGAAATATTTTCAGGTTTAAAACGCTCATTTGAGCATGCCCTTTTTGTTTTAAAACCTTTTGTTCTGAGCGTGGTTTAAAAAGGCGCTTACAGGGCGGGTTTTAAGGCGCACCTCCCCTTGAGGCGTACAGAGAAGGTATCAGGGCTTGGGTTTTTTCACAGGTCATCAAATTATTCAAATAGTTAAGGTGTATGCCTTGAGGAGTTTTCCGGGGTGTAATTTCCTTGGTTTTGAAAAAACCTTTTGGTTGAGTGTTTGACTGTTTGGATATGACTAAATACACCTTTGCTTTATATTGATAGAGAAGTTAGCAGTTTCTATAATTCTTTTGGCAAAATTATTTAAAGGGAGGGGGAGATATGTCAGAAAGCATTTAGGCAAGACACTCATATAAAAAAGCAACTAGAAATAATTTCTTAATTCAGTGTTTTAAGCATTTTAAGTTTTATCAAAATGCCTCAAAAAAGCTCCACCAGACACCTAAGTGATTAGTGTTGGTGTTTTGGGAGACAAAATACTAAGCCAATGACCCCATATGTAATTCCAACAATTGTTGCTCCATAGACAAAACTACTAAGCAATGATTGTAAATCCATTATAATTATGGACTAGATATAATATATGACTCAGTATATGGACTATACCAAATGTGTAGAACACCATCCTTGAAATTTGAATAGCTATGCAATGCTCAAATTTCCATGCTTCCCATCATGTCAGAAGAATAACACTTGGGTACAAAGATGAAGACTGCCATAGTTAAAAACAAACGCACCCGTGACTCAAACGAACACAGGTAGTCCTGAATGACTTTTAAGTTGCTCCTTAGCTTGTCTTCATCCTGGGAAGTATTTAAAGACATAAAGTTAGCAATCATAGAGTAGTGAGTGCATGTGAACTCTGCCAGATCTTGGAAGCATGCAAAACTCAAATGCAACTAGAAACTGCTTGTGCTACTATAGCATAAAATAAACTCTACAAAGAGATTAAGTAGGACATCAGCGTAATTAGATGTATAAACTATAAACCTGGATCGGGTATTTCTCTCTACTTGTACGAGTTGATATCCACTCTTCAAGCAATGCCTGCATAGCAGGATAACATAAAACAATCAGAATGAATGAAGATGTATTAAACATGTATTTATAACACTGAGTCTTTCATTGTGTAAGAACATGTATGGATATCTATTCAGTTACGTTAAAAAACCATGTGATTCTACCAATAAGGAACATATACAATTGTACAATGTGTAAGGTAAAAATATGCA